ATTTATGACAGTCACAGCATCCCACAGTCATGTGGTCACCATTTATGTGCTTCACAACCGGCTCTCAACAAGCAGAGTTAATGGAGAATATGGAAGTAAAATCGCAAGTTGTGGTCACATGATTTTCCACCTAGCAACCATGGTGCTTAGTGGAGTTGCCAGTCCCAATTGTGGTCACTAAACAAGGACTACCTGTATGTGCCCCACCAACCCAAGAAACAGGATGAACCCAGGATAGCTGTAGAAATAGGATTCCTGCTCCTGAATTGGGAAAGAACCTGGAAAACTATAAAGGGACTTTGCAAGGCCTCTCAGCCACTCTCTGCTTACTGAAAAAGCCACAGTACAAGAAGCAGTTATGGTTGGAATCTCCAACATCGTGTTGGTGGACACTAACGTGCTCACAGACAATTCCTTTGACACCTGCCCCATCATTCCCTCTTGCCTTTATGTGTGTGTGTGTGTGTGTGTGTATGTGTGTGTGCAGTTTGTATCCCAATGCTCTTTGCCATCCAATCACTGTCTCCATTTCCACTCCTTCAAGATCAAGAGCCTTGTCTCTAAGAATCATCTCTCTCCTTGGAGCTATATCCTCAAGTTCCTTTCAGTCAGGTGATGGCTATGTCTGACCACATACACTGTGTCCCCCTCCTGTACCTGATAAGGCCTCCCCTCTCTGGAGAACTTCTTCAATGTTGGTCACCATGATTTTCTGAACATCCTGGAGCTCCAAATTGATGCTGCTTAGGTGACGCTTTGACCAAGTATCTAGGTAGGATTTCTTCAACTTCTGGATGTAAATGTCTGATAAGGAAAAATAAGGGGATTCACATCTTTGCATTACAGGTGTTTTGTTTCATCTAGACCAACCTTCTCCAACCTGGCACCCCCCAAATTTTTCCCAGTCCACCATGGCACTAAAAGATTCCTTACTCAGCTGTGGCCCAACCTTGCATTCCTCCCACCACAGAAGAGAGCAAGAAACATTTGGTTCCCATTTTATTTATTAGTTAAACTTTTACAGTCTTACGATGATAGAAATAGGAATACCTTCAGTATAACAATATAAAATAAATAGTAAAACTATTTAAACCATTCCACTATAAGAGGATATCTACAACCCAGGATTGAATTGTGGAGTTTTTGGTACAACTAGTTGGGCAACGAAATGTCTGCAAGCAAACAACCAAGCTCAGAGAGCCCCAAGAACTCCACTATTTAAACCATGATTGTTAGTTTAACATGAAATGGTATCCCAATAACAACCCTCCTAATGCTATGTTAATTAATTACTTAATTAAAGACCCTCTGGAAGAACTTCTTTTTGACTTTTGGAAAGGCAGCAAGATGAGGGCAATCTGGACCCCCAATAGGAAGATTTTCTACAAAACAAGGTCCGCAGCAGAGAAACATCTCCTTCTAGCCTTGGCCTCATTAATTTCTTGGTAATGACCAACTTATGAGAGATTGTGGGGTGGTTAGGAAAGGAAAGGGAGGGAGAACAGACATAAACAATCAAGAGATAGGAAGTGAGAATCTGATGGTAGCTTATCTCAAAAATGGCAACTCAGCCCAGGTGGCAAGAAAACCTGGGAAGAAGCATTCCATAACGTTCAGAGAAACATTCAAGGGAAATCAGGGTGGGAAATTTCCAGTGTTGCAGATTCCAAGATTCTATATTCCCCCCAGCTGAGCCTTAAAGAACTCCGACTGGAATTTGCATAGTTCTTCCTTCTTTGGCCTTATCCAACTGCCTGGGGCTTGGCATGACCTACAGTCATGGTGGATGCATGGATTTTAACTCCCAGAATCCCCCAAGAGGGCATCCAAGTTGGGAAGCCTGCCACTTTGAGTACCCTGGCAAGATCTCAACATACTGGACAGAATCTGGGTTGGATAAAGATTACGTTTAGTTCTCCTTCTGTCCCACTGAAATCAGTGGGCAAGCTAATTCTACAACATCAGTCCCATTGATTGCAATGGAAACACAGTGCAACCACCTTGGTCTGGCTCCAATCTTTTGGCATGCCAAAACAACCCACACTTAAACGTGGATGAGTTTATTTATGCATGTATTCATAGCCCTGATGTTCCTCCAGGAGGTCAAGGCGGTAAACTTCCCCCTCCCCCCACTTTATCTTCACGGCAATCCTAAGCGGTAGATAAAAGTGAGAAATCATGATTGGGATGAACTCAGTGAATTTACCTGCTAATCTACACCCCCTCTCCAGAAAACCAATTCAACCTGCAACCCACTCACTGTTGGGCAACCTTCATTCTGGCAGCTATCTAGACAGCTTGTGGTCTAACCAAGATCCTGTCAATCCAACTTTCATGACTCCACAAAGGCTTTCCCTGCTCTTCTTCCCTGCCAGCAACTGGAATCCAGAAACAAAGATGCAGGAGAGACTCCTCAAAAATGATTCTGGGTCTCAAGCACAACTTCATGAAGACTACCCTGGGGGGTGGGGTGGGGGTTAATTTTTTTTTAAGAGCAAGAGGCAGATGACAGTGGCAGATAAAATTTTGCACCCTGTGGAGGAAAATCATCCAATGCAATGAAATGGTGGGAGACCGAGGATAGCTCAGCTCTTCGAGACAGCCAGGTCAAGAACCAGACGTGGCAAGAATTCTAGGAATGCTGTTTATTGCAGTCAAATAGGACACCAGAACCTTGAAAGCTCATTCCAAACGTTCCCGGTTCTTGTCTACATACAACAAAGTCAAGATGGGGCCATGCTGAGCCTTCAGATGACCCTTAGGGAGGGGGACAGAGACCCTGGTGTCCAGGGGTGCCATGTTACAGACATCTGTATGATGAGATTCATGGCCAAGGGAGACCCTGTTCTCCATTACACCTACCAAACTCAATGAAGGCGTAAGGTCGGGACACCGATGAGACCTTCTTCCCGTAAAGCTCCCAGAATTCAGCTTGCAGCTCCTCCAGAAAGGAGAATGCCAACTTTTTTGAATATGTAGCTTCACAGAGTGTCAGGTAACAAACTCCCTGGCTGATCAGGTAACTGTAGGCAAAATGAAGCAGAAGGCAGCAAAGATTTGGTGAAACAGGAAGAAAAGGGCTTTGATCTGGGGAGAAGTAAGCCTGCATGTAAGTTTGGAAACAATAATCCACAAGAATTTTTATAAACTTCCCTGTGTACGTGCTGCATACATCTGTAAATTATTTGCGGGTGCAGCAGCATATGTCAGGGGTGTGTGTGTGTCACACCCCTCGTGACACAAGTCCCACCCCTTCTGGATGTGCATTGCTATGTCACACATCATTATGTCACACGCAAGTCCAAAATGGGTGAAGCTTGCCATGCAGTGGCACCAGGATACCCCTGGCGATGTCTGTATCTCCTGATTTAATTATCCCCTTACAAAATTGGCATCAAATCTGTCAGCTGGTCATAAAAGCTGGTGTTCTCGTTCATCATAAATTACCAAGCAAAAGACTTGTTTGGCTCGGCTGGCTTAGCCATTTTTACTTCCTTTCAAACCTTCTAGGTATTTTCTTCTCCTGCCACAAAAGCATAAAAGTGAGATTAAATTGTCATAAATCTGCACCTTCAAACGTTGGGAAACCAAAGAGGTCTTTCTATGGTACTGAAAGAAAGGCACAGTGGTGCAAGGCAACCCTCTCTGGGATGAAAGCACCAGAAACAGAGTGCCACCACTTGAAAAAGCCCCTCTGTATGAAAAAAATTAGCTTACTGTCATCCATCCATCCATCCATCCATCCATCCATCCATCCATCCATCCATCCATCCATTCATGGATGCATGCATGCATGCATGCATGCATGCCTGCGATTTATCTACTGCCTGAAACCTAACAGACTCTAGGTGGCTTACAGAATTTACAACATAGCCACAGTGCAAAACCAGCATTCAAAGTTAATTAAATAAAAATCCACAATCTATTTCCCAATTTCAATACTAAAATAATTGGCATTTGGTATGGTTACAATTAATCCCTAAAAGCTTCACCTCTTTCTGGAAGAATAAGAGCCATCCTTGCTTTGGGGGGGGGGCAAGCTGAAAGAGGGGAAGGCCTGCCATCAGGTCCCCTCCCACCGTACCCTCAGTAGGTAGGGACCCTTAGCAGGCTCACCCTAGTTGTTCGGGGGGAAATAGTTAAATCTACCTTGGATAAAACCAAGGAAAGAGAGACTCTCTCATCTCCCTGGCCAAAAGCGGGAGATATCTGGCATTGCAATGTGGAACCGCTAAGATCCCTGGGTGCTGAAGTTTACAACTGCCTGCTGAATAAATTTGTATTTATTGTGACATTATTGTGATATCGTGTTTTTAACTCTTGTTAGCCCCCTGGAATCATGACATTAAGATGGGCAGTTGTAGACACTGAAATAAACAAACAAACTAAAAACATACAACATGCAGTTATACTGAGGGGAATTTAGCTCATTTCTTCTTTGCTCTGCAGAGTTCAGTGCAATGGGAAATATTGTGCTCACTGGACACTAATTTAAAAATTGTAGTTTTTTTTTCCTGAGAACAGCTGCTTGGATCATCATTCTATCTGCCCGTCCGTCCATCCGTCTGTCCGTCCGTCCATCCATCTTACATACTGCCACTTTCAACTGACTCTCAGGACTTTATAGTAAATCAATCAGGAATGATCCAAGAAAATAGCTTGGATTAATAAACTTAAGTGGGTGAGTCTGTTGTTTCTTTACAGTAGATAAAACAAGAAGGCTTCAGTTAAGATGCTTTCGAAACAGCCAGGTTATTAAATTGAGGTTTGAAGGTGGATTAATTTCCTGGCTTGTGTTAAACCGCAATTTCCCAGTTTAAACAATTATGAATCTATAGCTGGTAGAGGCTTCAAGGTTCAATTACAGTTCATACAAAGGAGCTGTGCAAAGTTGGCACATACATTTCTCAGCTTAATTAAGTAAGATCAGATTATCCAACCAAGTCTTTTAGGGTGAAAATATGATCACAGTCCCCTATGTGTTTCACCACTGCAATTTTTTAAGCTAGAAGGGCACCGGCTGACTATTTTTCAAAAGTTACCAAATATTGGTGTGAGTTTATAATCCGGTGATAATTGGAGGGAGAGCATCAAGTGTGTTCCCTCATTTTTCTTTCTATAATTCAAGACCTGGGGGCATTGCAAGAGATTTCAAGTGCAGGTAGAATAGGCGTATTCTCTTCTCCACATTGCTGTGAATCGGAAACACTTACTGAAAAGTCATCGTTCCAGCCTGCAGAGAGCACCGATTTGGCGAATGTTCGCCCAGTTTTCGGAAGAGCTGTTTGGCTTGACTGTGATATTCTTGGAAATTCCGATTTGACTATGGATAGGAATGAAAAAGAAGAACTTTGTGTAATCCAGAAAGCAGGAGAGAAATTTTAACCCCATACAGGTGTGAACAGCATCAGGTTGGAGAAATCTAGGGCAATCTCTAGATGGGTGGTGAGGTGGGTGGTATCTAAATTCGAAATATCAATCAATCAATCAATCAATCAATCAATCGATCGATCTCACCTAACTTAAGTGATGGAGGGAAATTACCGATTCTCCTTTGCAGTATTTAGACCCCAATCAGAAAATTATGCTGTGGGGGAAAACTCAAGTGAGAAGACCCATAAGGCACTGAAGGGCAAGAACGGTGCATCTCCAAGGCGGTCCATATTATGCGGTAGGTAAGATCTTGGATTCTGGAGACCCAGATTCAGGTCCGGCCTCATCCATGGAAGTGCAGTAGGTGGCTTTGGGCCAGGAATTCGCTTTTGGCTACTCTACCCCGCAGGGTTGTTATGTGGAAATAAAACAAGGGGAGATTCCAACTCTCGGAGCCAAAAGCTGAAAGGGTTCTTCAGAGGAAGCATGGCATGCAACTGGGCTTCCCACAGCCGTGCAATCCCAGGAAAGTCCTGTTGAGCTAAGGAGGCAGTGAAAGGGTGCAACGAGATGCGTTGGGATGGGTTGAGCGCTCTGTAGCACCTTCTTGAGTTAAGCATACACCTTCCTGAGACCATACAGCTTCTTTAGAGAGTGACTGGCAAGCATGGCACATTGGTCACCCGTAAAAAAAAACAAAAAACAGGGCTTCCATTGCATGGTGACAACTGCCATCTTGACTTTTGGACTGTCCCTGTAGATGCTTTTGCCTCCACATACAAGCATCCTTCTGGAAGATGGGAAGAAGCAAACAGTTGTGTTTTTCAACCTTGGCCACTTTAAGATGTGTGGACTTCAACTCCCAGAATTCCCCAGCC